GCCATAAAGGCCAATGGCCTTTATAAAATTTAAAATTCTGCTGGGAACAACGACGGAGAAAATATCCTGCAATTTCTTGCATTTTTAACATTCAATCGAAAGTCCTGCCTTTTAAACAACATCACTGTGTGGTAAGCCGTGCCACATCCATACAACAAACAGTAAAGCCCACCCCACCCCCAGTAGTATCCCTCCTGGTGCAATTTCCCACTAATGGAGGCGCTGGCAATAAAATCTATTGACATTCAAATTTAATGAGATCAACTGCCAAGGGCAACCATAGAGGGGGAGAAAACGAAATCAGACTATATCGGGAGAAACAGTCGCTGCCCTTCCGGGCCTTTTATGAATGTATTTGTTGGGCCAGCTGGAGTTTCATTGTGTTCTCGCCATGAATAATCCATAGTTCATCAGTCTGCCGAGGGGAGGAGGACACTCGACCTTGACATGTAACCTTCCCGGTGGGAGGAGAGAATATAGTCGCTGTCGCAAGCAATCCACTCGAGTTCAAACTTCGAGATCGTTTCGATTTTAACACCCTCCAAAAGCTCTTTCAAAGATGTTCCTTTCAACCCAGTTGTCAACACCACCAAAATGCAGTTTAGTGCTCTGGGGGAAATCCTATCAAAGACCCACCTTTCAGAATCACCCAAATGCTGATTAATGCCATGGTCGAGGCTTACAATTTTCTTGCTTCTCAAGATTTTTAATAGGAACAACACAATAAAAACTACTTTTGTTTTGTTTTGTTTTGGCCTCTGGCGTTAAAATAGTACCCAAACAGACTTAAATGGATGGCTCGCGACACCGACGATATACATAATACGTAGTCAGTGAAGTGAGAGGAAGATCAGTCATTGACAGTAAAAAGCGGCACCCGTGGGAGCTGGAAAGTATTCAGTGACAATACAGATCATTGGCCCATCTCGCGTCCTCCAGGGAAATATGTTTAGTGGAAACAGGTTAACAAAGTCATTGCAGAAAGGCAAATATACGTACGTACACACACACAACCACACACACACACACACACACACACACACACACACACATCGTCAATGCAGTTCGCTACCCGCGAACGGAAAATAATTTGAAAATTCTGGTATTTAGGCATTTGACCTAAGCACAATCTTAGAAATCAGCTCTCACATTTTAATTTTTATCAATAATTCGTATCAACTTAAATATAAATTGTCAAAATCAAGAGATTAAAATGTGTATAAGACCACTAGAAAAGTTGGGGTTTTTTCACATTTTCTCAAAAGTACCTGAATCCTCCCTACGCAGATAACGAAATGTAGTGACGATATCCTGAGCACTGACTGAAACACTCACCTCCGGAAAGCCTGCTCTTCGATGTCTGAGAAAGTTTCCTATGACCCGCTGAAGGCCCCGCCCCTTGTCCCGAGGCCCCGCCCCCGTTAATGACAGTGGCTGTGCTCTCCTGGGACACGCTGCGCCGGAAGCCCGAGCCGCTGTCCAACGAGTCCGTGGTGGTGGCCGAGTGGGAGGAGTCAGACGGCGACGTGTGCCCGTCCGAGAAGTGCACCAGAGACTTCCTCTTCCCGAACCGATGCTGCTCGTGGGTTGGCTGCGAGTGAGAGGAGGAGGAGGAGGAGGAGGGGTCTTGCTGAGAGTCCCCGCCCCCGCCTCTATGGGGTGCGGAGTCAGTTCCCGCTGGCTCCGCCCCTTGTTGTTGTTGAGCGTTTTCGTTGACGGATGTGTCGGTGACAGTGACGGCCGCAGTCGTCTCGCCCCCCTCGCTGTTCTCGGCGGAGGCGGCGGCCATTTTCTGCGCGAGGGCGAGTTGCGTCTCTCTCTCCAGCACGCGGATGTCCTCCAGGGTGAGCCCGTGGTACTCGTCTTGCCAACACCAGGCCTGCCGGTGAGCGCGCAGCATCGTTTTCCTCAGGGCTACACAGCGGCCGTGAGTCCAGGGTGGGAGCAAAGGTAGAAGAAAACAAAGTTGGGATGGGAAAGGGGGGGAGGGAGCAGTTTAGTTCGTTCGTTTCTTTGTTTTTTTTTAAAGAAAAGACAAGCACACCATAATTGTACAGGCCACGAACAAACACTTTCCGCCTTTCCCCATCCTGGGTAGCCTCTTAGTGTTATTCCATGTCTTTCCACTTTAAAGAGAAGCACGTCGACACAACAATGGTCATTTAGTGCTGGGAAAAAGGAAGACAGATTGACAGAATCAACAGACGGAAAGCGTACAAGTCGGCCATCCCAGAACTACCTAAATTATCTAAATTGTGTCGATAGCACTGTAAAAACATCCCATCACCAAGTGTTAGATCTTCAACAGACATCGACAACCATGGTTATCCATTCATTCCTTTGCTCGGAAGCTCTAAACAAAGCTACATTATCCTGATCTTTTTCTGTCACCCATCTGTTAGGCTCTCCAAGTAAGTAGCTCTGGGTCTCCCTCTACCTTTTTGCCCTCAATTTTAACAGTGAGAGCTAGAAAACACCTACATCTTTTTTAAAAAAGAGG